AGAGGAGGAGGAGGAGAAGGTGATGGATGGCAGTCAGGCAGGGAAGTGAAGAGAGCCGAGCGGAGGGAAGGATTGGAGGGGGGTTCGAGGGGTGCGGGTTGGACAGAAACTCATTCGTAGCCTTCGGTGTCCGATCATCGATTTTACAGCGAGGGCGTTCGGCTGGGAGAGCCACGCAAAACCAGTCAAAATGAATGACTGCATTATAAAAATATCGCACACGGCGTATTGATTCATGGAAGTGGAGCAAGTCTCTGCAAACTCTCCTCAAATGAAGACATAAAGGTGTGTAGTGGATCTCCAGACAGTCGCAGCACAACTGGTTCATTAAACAGAAAATAAACCAATTTTATAAAAATTAAAAAAAAGGCATTTTATTCCCGTCTTTTATTGGTTTATTATATTAATGCAGGAAAATCATCTTTTTGAACTTCAAGCCGTTGAACTTCAACTTTGAGGACAGTATGTTTTGCACTTTTAATCTTTTAAATGTTCGTATGGGGTCTTAAACCTTGGTGAGCAGGATGAACGTGCAGCTCTGCATCCGAAATGAACATTTAAATGACACTTAAAACGGATTAAAATAACTGTTAAGGTGAATAGATTATATATTTGCAGTAAGTGAATTAAGTTTACTTAAAAGATCAGTTGATTTCCCTCAATTAAAAACATAAAACATCACAAAATAAATAATATATAATAAAAAAACACCTGTGTCGTTCTTTGTTTGCACACGTTGCCAAACGGCTGGAAGAAGCAAAACACTTGAAAAATCACCGGCGCCTCAGAACCGCAGCATAAATACGTCGTCACCGTTTTAAAGCCGCTATGGGCGCCATCTTGGCTCAACATGCTGACAACAAAAGTCAATGAACGCTGCCAACGCAACGAGTGCGCGTGCTGACAAAGACACACACACACACACCACTTTACTGTACATATGTACGTGAGCCATGTGTATTGTGCGTTTGTGTGCGTTGGACATCGGTTGCTAGGCTGCGCTGCCCTCGGTGATTTGATGGATGCGGTCCACGGCGAGCTGAAGTGCGTCCTAACGTATAATCACCACGTCCCATTTCCTCCGTCCGGGGCTGCAATTTAGAAAACTTGAAATGTTTGGAGCCACAGGTGGGCGACACCGGAGGAGCGGGAGAGAAGAGGCCGTGACACCAGCGGGCGCCGCGTCGCTCCCAACGTTAGTGGCTCAGTCGCGCCTCAAGTTTGGGAACTTCTGCTGATGTCGCCGCGCAGTTCGTTTCATTGAGGATCCGTAAAAAAAGAGCCATTTCATAACCATAATGTTTTTTGGAGACGAATCGGTGTTGAAGAGGTTAGTGATTAATATTCCGCTTTTCCTCCTCTCCATCCCGCCGTTTACCCAAAAGAGGGAGACAGACTGTTATTTTACAGTCAAATAAAGTTAATTCAGAAATGAGTTTCTCTGATCCTCGTTAAACGTCTGTGACAACGTGTCACAAAGGATTAGAGGGCCGCCGAAACACGCACACACACACACACACACACACACACACGCACACACACACGCACACACAGCCTAATTGGCAACACGGTTTGTGTCACCGGTTAACGAGCGTGTGTGTTGGTGCGAGCTTGTGTGCGTGCGTGGATCCTTCCACAAGTGTGGCGGTTTCCCACCTGCGCCGATCGGTTAGCTTCTTCGCTCTGCCATTTTAAATCAAGCTTTTCAATCAGGCTGGCGATGGAGGGGGGAGAGGGGGGATGGAGGGGAGAGAGGGGGGAGACTAGAGGAGACGAAATGGAAAAAGAAAGAAAAGAGAAGGAAAAGAAGAAGACGAGAGCGCGTGGGCAACTGTTGGTCGCTAGGCGCCTGACGGTCGCCATGGCAACATGTGGCGCCATGCTAAGCTCCTGCTGACATCACACCTGTTGCAGCGAAACACTGTGTGTGTCTCTCTCTGTGTGTGTGTGTGTGTGTGTGTGTGTGTGTGTGTGTGTGTGTGTGTGTCCTGGAACCAATTAAATGACATAGCGGCGCGGTTGAACTGAGGGAGAAAAACTGACAGAAGATATGGGAAAAAAATACAGCGTATATTTTAACACCTTATGGACACAGCTGCTAACTGTGTGTGTGTGTGTGTGTCTGCACGCATTGTGTGTGTTTGTCCATCCATGCGGGAGCCTATGACATCTGGATGACACCAGTTTGGAGCATTGAAAGTCAAAAACCCAAAACACACTTATGGTTCTAAAAGCTAGAGGAGACAATAGTTTAGAGATAATAGTTTTTCCTTACAGCTCAATTTTATGACCACTTGTGACTGAGCTCCTTTAATGGAATTGTGGTGTGTGTGTGTGTGTGTGTGTGTAGGTATTGATGTACATAGAGATATACTTTTTAAAGCATCTTTACGCACAATAAGATCTGCGGTAAATTCTATTGTCTCATCTGCAATTATCAAATAGAACGAAATTAGTTCCGTGGCAACGCGAGGAGATTATATCAGTTAACTTCAACCTGCCGAAAAATTTAATTGAACGTGTAAATGGTAAAAATACAAAAAAGAAAAGAGAAAAGATGAATTATGAGGGAATATATCAAATTGTGTCAAATTGTGCACCGTGAACAGGCAGGCTGACGGAGGCCGAGAAGATTCTCCCTGACGGCCTGCAGATCACACACCTGACATCACACACACGTAGGGAGGACCGCAAGGACCACACGCCACCATTGTCCCGCTGTGAAGCTCAACGCTGCTCCCTGGTGGCAGCATGACGCAACAACAAGCTCCCCCCACAAAGCGCAGTGCCGGTGGGAACGCGCCGCATGTTGCTTCTACTGTCGCGTGTTGTTCAGGACCTCCTGATGATGATGATGATGATGATGATGATGATGATGATGATGATGGGCCGTAATTTACTAAATGGACATCGTGCCATGTTGAGGAAGACTTGAAACTAGAGATTGAGACCATGTTTACAATGTTTACTGGGAGAATAAATCAAGAGCGAAGTAGTCATTTTCTAATAGCCGTCTATGGGACCAGAGGAGTCGCCCCCTGCTGGTCACTACAGAGAATGCAGCTCAAAGGAACTTCCTCTTGCTTTTCAGAACTACATTTATCCATCCAACAAGTTCTCAACTCTTGTCCTCCAAAATAAATGAAAAGCCCTGTTAAAAACTCACTAGTTAATACTCGAACTACTACTGATTTTCGTAGTAGTGTGGTACACCATGCAGCCCTGACTTAACGGTCAAGGTTCTACTGTGCGACATTTCCCACTTTGAAAAAGGATTTTTTCAATGCAGCTACATGGTTGTTCTGATTTCTCTAC